CTCCTTCTACTTCTAAGTCTAGAGTAGAAATTCTTATGGGAAGATATTGATGATATAACATGTTTTGATTCCTTTATTGATGATGAACTTGATTCTTAGCACCGGAGAATGTTTTTAGCGCAACAATATTTCAAATCGAAGATCATAGACAGTCATTAGCAGAGAACAACCTAGAGATTTCCGTATTATTCAGAGATTGGATTAATGCAGAAAGAAGAAATCTTGGTTTTGAAAAATTAACACTAGGGAAGAAGAAAAATACAATAAGATACTTACCACTGGGATCGATGACGACATGGAGCTCATAGAACATCAATCAACATTCAACACTGCCAATTCCAGAACAATGTCCGAGAGATATTATTGATAAGTTACAAAGCAGCTATATAGGAGCTTACAAATATTAGTATGATAATTTGTAATTGGCTACTAAGAGGCCTAGAAGGTGGCTGTGTAAATTAGGTGCTCTTCAACAGAATTATATTTGTATTTGAGATTTGAAAGTTCCATTAATAAAATAAAAGGCTTTAAGCGTTAATTTTTTTTATATGAATTGTGTTAGTTACTTAATAGTTAATACTTTGAAATTATATTAAATAAATTATAACTCTATTATAAATTTACAATTACTAGAATATTTCATTACAAGTCTTTTGTTTTAATATTTTATAATTCTTTGCTTAGTTTTCTAATTTTTGTTTTAACATAATAACATTTAAGTTTATTAAATAAGTCAAAAATCTAGCCATTGCTTTAAAAACATAATAATTTTCAAAAAACTAGACGTTTTTAAAAAAAAATACACTTAAAGCCCACAAACCCGTCCCATCCCGTTCCGTCTCGTCCCATTTGTTAGCGGGACGGAATGGGACGACCGTTTCGTCCCGTTTGTCCCGTCCCATTTCGTCCCGTCCCACCACCGTCCCGCTTAAATATTGTCACGTCCCGTTAATTTCGTCCCGTCTCCCATCCCGTTGGACAGTCATAGTTCCGAATGACAAAACATTAATCTAGACTTGAACTCTTGATCTATTATAGTTTTCTTTGAAATACTAGATAAATCTTTTTTTTTTCAGTCCTATATTAATTAAGAAAAAACAAGCTTAAATTTGTTAATGTCAATGGGTAAATAGTTGCATTTGCATTCGGTAGAATTCAATCGGACTGTCAGAACGTCCACCCCTCCTCGTGCATGTGCGTATCATTAGGATAAGGAAGAAAAACTATTGAAAAGGCAACTCATCTTTAGGTTTTCTGCACACTTGACAAGTGCAGAGCAGAGAGTTATAACACATCATCTATTGGGATTTTCACATACCTCTCAACTTCAATTACCAACAAAAAAAAATTATCTATATTTTGCTCGGTTAAAAAATGCCTAATTTGAGGTATTTTATAACTGAAACAATAAAAAAATAAATTATGAATTTGCAATTCCATGTCAAATAAAGAAAAATAATTAGTGAATTTTGCACCACACCATCAACCTGAAACCTCTCTTCACTATAGTATGCCACCAAATCTTCAACCCCATAGGAATGGCTAAATGCAAGTAAAAATATATTTCCTCACTGATTACATTCCCTCAGAACAATATATCGTGGTATTAGTACTGGGACGATAATAACAACAATAACAAACCTAGTTTAATCTTATAAATGGGATCTGAAAAGGGTAATGTGTTAACAGACTTTACCCCTATTTTATAAAGATAGAAATGTTGTTTCTGACAGAACCTCGACCTATGTTGGGCCAGTGGCGGATCCAGGATTTTAAAGTCGTGGGTGCTCACTGATAAAAAATTTGAAAGAAGAGAAAAAAAGAGTTTAGTTATGGGTGCTCAATCAATATTTACCTAAATATTTTTATAATTACCTGTACAAATTTATTAAATCTTGTCAAAGATAATGGGTGCTTGAGCACCCAAAATTAACATGTAGATCCGCCCCTGTATTGGGCGGACTCTCTAAAATGATGCCGCATCCGTATCATATCCTTCAAATGCACTACTTTCGAAGGATTCAACAATTTTGAAGAATCCAAGCAACATAAACTCAAGAAACAATGAAAATAAAAGCAACCAAGCAACATAACAACAAAATAATATGGTAATGGCGCGAACGAAGTATTGTTACTACGACAAAACAAAGGAAATCTTGATAAGCAAAAGCTACTATAAGGAAAGACTTATATTTAAAAATAATAATGAGAGTTAGCTTATACGCATGTGAATTAAGATATAAAATATCCGTTACCTCAAACTAGGGTACACCATTTGACGGAGTGAAGATGGAAAAAGAAAGGCAAGATGCCATTTTGTCTGCAAAAGCACCAGCACCTTTCTGCACGAGTCTCTCGATCGATCGGCCACAATATATTTGTATTGCTAGAATTATATGCTTTACAAACTCGTCCACTAAGGTGCAGGTGCAAATGCAGATAAAAATGTGCAATCTTGTTTATTTAAATAGAAAGAGACACTCAATCAATCGCCCGAATCACAAAAGACAGAGAGAACAATAACTTCTATATATGCCTTCAACTCCTGTTCCCTTGACCTCTACTTAATTATACACCAGATATAATAACACCACACACACACACATATATATTTAACTACTAGAAGCTTCTTATTCAAAGAAGAAAGTTCTAGTACGTAGCTAGTAAAGTTAAAACAAGAAGTTGCATGGTTAGTACAGTGTAATGCAATGGTCAGACAAGAACACGTGATCAATGGTTCAAGGACACGTGGTATTACCAAATGGAAGCCTAGTAGCTTCACCTGAAGTACCTCCGGTGGAATGGTGAGTGATGCGATTTCAACCAAAACCTGAGTAAATAGTAAAGTAACTCTCACCTTTTTAACCATTCACGGAGTGGTAAAATGATTGAACTTCCTTTTTATTTCAAGATGGGTCGGATAATTAATTTTGATGAATTATAGGAGTTTTTTTTTTTTTTTTTTTT